GGTCAGTTGCAAAATTAATCTCCCTATGCACGTGTTGTATTTTAATGCTCCTGTCCCATTGAGCCATGCTGTGAATAGCCTTTTACAAGCGTTTCGTGAGCTCCGAAGTGGTTCTCGGTGCCAAGCAACATTTGCCTTGGCAATCACTTTACGATAGCCTGACTCCCATGCCAACTATAGTCCCTGAAGAAGGTCCCAAAGATCGGCACGTACAATAACCAATATTCATGAGGAAACCCTCTATCCACCGACCCGCCTCATCTCGAATTAGACCTCCTGCAGTACTCAGTCCCGTAGAGGTATCAAAGACACCATCCGTATTCAAAAGCCGACGGCCCAAGAATCCAACAGCCCAATAACAGGCTATTTGTCCTAGTTTTACAGGAGTGGCAGCCCAAACTGACTTGTTTGTCTACACCATTGTCCATTGACAAAGGCCTAAATGCTATTGTATAAAAAACCAAAAACAATCATAATAAAATACTACTGCACTGTCGAACAAAGTAGTTACGAACCAGTGATAATTAAAACTGTTAATCTTAATGACACGTGAGTTCAACTCAGCTTGATTCGTTGATAAACGAGTAGAACTCTGTCTCATTTTTTTAAATAGTCAGCTCGACTTGCCTTTTAATCAAAAAGCTCTTAAGACTTGAAAAATAGGAATCTTTATGTAATTTTTAAGCTTTAATATTACTCGGTTCGTTAATGCCTGAGTTCGACTAGATAATAAATCGAACCAGAGCTCGGGCCCGACTCTGTTCATTTACAGCTCTATCACTCGAGATGACAACAAAGATCGTGGAAATAAATTAGATAAATGTGATAAACATGAAATTTTGAATGAGGTTTATCCTAAGATTTTGCATGTAAGACACGGGCCAATCATTTTTTGGAATCTGTTTGATCAATTTTTCTAAGGCCGAGCTCTCAACGTGCCACATAAGTCCAACTACTCATACGACTTTACTGTTAACTTATCGGTTCACCTAGCTATTTCTTTGTGCCATATCATCTAGCCTCTTAATTATCAAATGGCCTATCGTTCATTGAACTAGATAGACACGTTCGATAATTTACATATTGAATCCGAATTGCCGAGCTAAACTGGAAAATGTCATCTAAATTATAGCCGAAATTGTCAATTTGTACCGAGCTCCGAATCATGACATCCAATCGAGCCGATTAAAAGTGCCGAGCTCATATGTATCAAATGCCGAGCTCTTCATATGGCTGTGCAATCGAACCAACTAAAGAGCCGAGCTCTAGATCTCGGCGCCACGTACCGAGCTCCGAATCATGACATCCGATCGAGCCGATTAAAAGTGCCGAGCTCATATGTATCAAATGCCGAGCTCTTCATATGGCTGTGCAATCGAACTAACTAAAGAGCCGAGCTCTAGATCTCGGCGCCACGTACCGAGCTCCGAATCATGGCATCCGATCGAGCCGATTAAAAGTGCCGAGCTCATATGTATTAAATGCCGAGCTCTTCATA